TTCAAACACATATCCCTAAAATTTTCAAAAACATCAGTTAGTAAATATACATCAGTCATCACATATAAATCATGATATTCGCCAAGGTTTTTAATGTTAAAATGCTTCCATACAATATTTGCTCTGGCGTAGTCTTTGTCAGTTATGTTTTCTTCATATAATTTGCTGTAAAAAAGAAATTCTTTGGTAGTTTTATTTCATCGAACTTCTCCCATGAGTTCATGTAGTCATAGGGATAGACACCCTTATCAGTCAGCAAATTCAAATCAGTTTTAGATTTGATATATGGGTTGGTGCTTGTATATCTGAAACGAGTTTCCCAATCTTTAATCTTTTGATTTCCTTCATATTTGTTTAATCTAACTAACTTATCTAATGAGGCAGTTAAGAAAGCGAAACTGTCTTTAAACTGACAAGCACCAAATGAAAAGGTTATGAACTTTTCACTGTTTTGTGCTATTACATCTATTCTTTTGTTTTGGTTTAGTTTTATGTTTAGTTCATTTGCTCTGGCAATGATTAAGTGAGCGTCATAGTTTTTGAGATTATGAAAGAAAATAGGGATTTTAAAATATCTAAATGAATAATCCAGATTACATTTTACATGCGCTGCGCCTCTGTATTTGCCTGTGAAGTGGCAGTGGTCGCGGACTTTCTCATCATCAGGTTCAAATTTCTTACCGCAGATGGAACAATGAGACGATAATTTAAACTCTAATTTTTGTTCGTTTGTTAATTCACCCATTGGTTTATTAACATTCATTTTTCCAAAAATATCTTTCTTAATTTCGGTCAGTTGTTCTACAAACTGTTTCATACAATCCTCACCTCTGTATAAATACGGTTTGCAAGTATTATTAATCCTGCTTACAACATTCAACATATAACCGCAAGGTTTATGTTCTTGGTACGTTCCTTTGGGAGCACTGCTTCCAGAGCAACTTAGGGCACCTTCGGTGCCGTAAGTTCCCTTTATTTCAGTATTAGAGTTAGTGGTTAGACATTCAAAATCACCATAGATTACAGAAGGACAAGGCAATTTAGTATTATGCTTTTCATTCTATATACGTGTCTTTATTTGGCATCTTTGTTTGTTGTCCTTCTGATGCCATACATCCTTTTTCAAGATGGTTCTTAGATGCCTTTTCTGATTGAAATGGATTTAAGCAATGGTGGCAGTAAAACTTTTTATTAGTGTTGCTACTGCTCTGACAGTTTAATAATCTACATTTGTTTTTTACTAATACATAATGATAGTGATTATCTTCATCATAGACTTTTAATAAAGCTATTTCATATTTAGCATTTCTGTTTTTAGTGCCTCTATGTAGTATAATCTTATTATCATTTAAGCAGTCATCGGGTTCAAACACATTTATTGAAACTGATTTATTGTTCTCTTCAAATCTGTCAATGTCCCTATTGCCAGTTGGAACATTTACACCATCCCAGTTCAAAATATCATCTTTCAGTTTATTATAGTGGAACATTTCCTCTGGGTGATGTTTGCTTATTTTGTCATAGACTACGGATTGAATACAATATTTGAAGCATTTTTGGTCTTTATTTTTAATGTTGATACATGCCTTTTTTAACTTAATCCATTCTGGTAATTCTATGTATCTCCCTGCTCTTGTTGGGTCATATCTGTCATAGTGAATAGTTATTGACAAAATCTTTTTGAAGCGTAAATTTGATGTTGATGCTTCTAAATTTTGTATTTGTAATAAGATTTGTTTAACACTGTCTTCTAATGCTTGTGTTAGTTCATCTTCATTACTGATATTAAAGCGGGTTGATGGTAAAGCATATACAAGTTCCTGACTTCCAATTTCATTTCCTCCATCATCATATTCAGGTTTTTCAAATAGTGCTTTTGTTCTTATGTCAAGTTTCATGCTTCTATTCTTTCTTAAAAACTCTAATAGTCTTTGCTTTTGGTGCGCAATCATTTCTAAACATCTTTCTCCTTCAAAGTGTTTATTTTCTAAAACTATTGAATTAGCGTATCTTCTAAATGCTGATTGAATATCTCTGACCCTAAACTTGTTTCTTATTGCGTGTTTGGTTAATAATTGTCTTACTCTTCCTTCATTGAAAGCACCCTTTGCCTTGTTTAAAGCATAGCTTCTGTATTCATTAGTTTTCTTTGCTGATAATAGTTTTTTTCGTTAAAACATTTGATATGGGTTTGTCTTTGTTGTATCTAAATTTCTTGTTGTCTATTACTATTGATTTCAATTCTTTTCTTCCTCTTTTTGGTATTTCTTCTAAATCATTACTTAATAAATAGTCTATAATTCTTTTTCATCATATAATAGTATATATTTTATTTAGTTGATTTATCTTTAAGTAGTTTTGAGAAGAATGATATATTTTAATCTGAGAAAATATACTTAAAGAATAGTTATTTAAGTATATTAGTAGGATGGATTGCGTGAAGGATTTACCCGTTGATGTGCTGAGTAAAATTGCTTCTTATAAAATTGGAGACCCTAAATATTTGAAAATTGAGTATAATCATATTGAGGCATTGAGGAGAATACAAAACAAATATAAGATTTCAAGACTTGGTCCTAAAATAACAAGACATTTGAAATCAAGAAAAAAGATACATATATATATATATTTGAATACTGTATTATGAGAGAGGGAGTGCCATTTAGTTTAAAAAGTTTAGACGACATAATAACAGAAGAAAAAGAAGAATTACTCTCTTTGATTTATGAAGAAGTAGAAGATGATTTAAATTATAGAGTTAAACTTGACATTGAAGTTCAATTAGTGGCAAAACTCCCAGAAAAGGAATATGGAGAAAATGAATTTAGTTATAGAGATATTTATTTTATGAATGACTTTGATGAATATGTAGATGAAGATAATATAGACTATGTATTAGATAAAGCAGTTGAAGAAATAAAAGCCGACATAGAAGAAGACCGAGATAAAGATAGTATAATAGGAATACAGGCATTTCATTTTAGATTAGTAATTATTGAAGACATTTACTACTAACATATGTCTAATAATATGTTTTTTAATTAGAATTATGGACTTGTAAGATGGGATTATTACAGACTAAGGAATAATATATATTGTTGTTCTTTGTTTTGTTTTGTATATTGTTCTATGCTGGGTTTGTTTTTTGTTTTGTTTGGTTGTTTTGTTTTGGGTATGGAATGGATGAGGTGATGATGTGATTTTCTATGAATAAACAATATTCAATAAAAAATCTGAACACATATTTAAGAACATGATTGTTTTAAGATATATGGATGATAAAACTTGTAAAACTTGTGAAAGAACTATGGACATTGAAAAGTTTGATGAAGGGTTAAAAACTTGTAAAATGTGCTTATCAGATAATAGAACCAGTTATCATAAACATAAACATAAACGGAATGAGGTTCAAAGAAAAAGATATGAGGAAGATGAGGAATATAGAAAAACGAAGCAGGACTACAATAAAACATTTCAATCTAAAATTGGCCGCCTACTTCCTTGGTGATCCCCGCCCTGACACAATATTCTGACATAGTTTCTGACATACCATCCGGAAGTATATACGGCATATATATATATATTCTGAATTCTATATATCTGACAGTTTTTCTGGCCTATACTTTGACATTCTATCTGACATTCTTTCTGGCATATGACCATTTGCCAAAAATAGTTGACACACATTTGGTACCAGTGGTTGATAATTAGTGCGGATCTAGTGGTTTTTCGTACTCGTTATGAGGCGGCGCGCAACTAAATTCACAAATTCTGCAAGGCAGTGCTAGCAAACCTGCTTTGTTTGCACTAGTTTTTTTACATCCAGATTCAAAAATATTTTTTTATTAATGTGTTCCTGACTGTTTGTAAATTTGAACATGAAAAACAGTTAGATTTGTAACACTTAGACTTAGCGCCTTAAACCTAAGGATGTCTTTGCAAATTTCTGTGCTATTCAACATTTTTTTTTTTGCGAATTGTACGTAAGTTTACCCGCTAGATCCCCGCGAGAACTGCGCTAGCAAAAGTTGCAAAAAACGGTTTTGGCTGACCAGTGACCCAGTCGCCTCCAGAGAACTTGTAGTTTATCCTTTCTGTTTGGCAAAAACAAGAGTGACAGCAAAGGCAATGACAAACCCTGCAGGAAATGAACAATTGTTCCAGTTCCACGACTAATAACTAGCAGCCGCACTCACTCCATATAGACGTGGTTAGCGGGTCCTGCAGGTTTTAGCAACGGTTTCAAACATGAAAGATGAAACGCAGGCTTCAGAATATCTAGATAAGTCATGGTTTTGAAGACCAAGCAAGAAGCGGCGCGCAAGGAATGACGATTTATCAGTTTATCAGCTAAACCAGAAGAAGACATTTTGACAAACCGTCACGTACTCTGGCATTCTATCTGGCATTCTTTCTGATCTTGCATCTATTTTGACATTCATTCTTTCTATCTGGCATCTATTCAGGCATGATTTTTGCAATCTATCTAACATATGTTCGGGCATTCTATCTGGCATTCTATCTGCCACTCTCTCTGGCATGTGTTCAGGTCCAGGTGTGCTCCATTGCATCCGGCACTCGCGATAGGGTTCGGGTCCACGCGTGTTCCACTGCGCCCGGACCTTGCGATACGGTTTGGGTCCAGTCCAGAGCTTGCGATATGGCTCAGGTCCAGGCGTGCTCCACTGCGTCCGGGCCTGGCACAGGAGAGGAGGAGACGAGGGGGAGAAGAAGAAAAAGAAGAAGAAGGAGAAGGAGAAGGAGAAGGAGAAGGAGAAGGAGAAGGAGAAGAAGGAGGAAGAGTTGCACCTTTGTTAAAATCTAAAATTTAGAGACCATCACCTGGCACGCGGGGAAAAAGGCCGCAAATGCTCCCAATGGAAGGAATTTATTAACATTGACCGGTTGCTCCGCCAGTCACCAGATTGCAGTCAAACTATCGGTGGATGCAAATGTTCCCCGCACATCCCCGCACCTTTGTTGCTTTTCGTGTTTGCGAGGTGGATGAGCAGGTCAGCGCATGGATCCTAGATATCTGTGGATGTCTGCATGATGTGGGTGGCATTTCCATGTTGTTCTCACGGCAACGCGTAGAAAACGCACAAATCCCGAGGCAAACGCGATGTGTGACTCCCCTCGTGATCAAGGCGGATGGGACGTGTCATTCCATTTTTTTTGGGGGGGGTTCAATTTTGACCCGTACGTGGAGAGGGAAACCAAAGGGTTCAGAAAATGGAACTGCTGCAAATCCACTCACAGTCTAGTTTTCAGCGAGGTTTCCACATCCTGGTTACCATTTTCTGTTTTTCTCCTAATTTTGGATATGCAATCAAACAATCATGTGGCCATCATGGTTGGATCTATCAACCCATTTCTTGTTTATGATATGGAGTCAAACCTCCAATAATGAGGGCCTTACTTGGAGGACCATCCCGCCAATCGTACCTGCACGGTTAATAACCTTCGGAAGCTACGCAGGCGGAAGGCGAGCCGCCTTCCAACGAGCGGCCGTGGGCCCCAAGGATGTGGTGGGTTGGTCTGGAAAAGCGCATGAAAAAATAGTGAAACTCTTCCAGTTTCATAGATTCTTATCTAGGGTTCTATAGTTAATAGTACATCAATATGGGCAACACAAGGATATTAGTACCACATCTATATTAGTGTACCATAAGTATCACAAATCATTATTATTATTACTACTATTATTATTGCTATTGTAAGTGCCTCTAACTACAATGATCAAATGGTAAATAAACAACACCAATTTGTAACTACCAATTAGATAACATTATTGACTACTCATATATTACCAACTACTTTACCATTTATATCCATTTATTACCAATGGTCCAACCATTTTGAGCCTCTTCCAAGCCAAACGCAGAACTCAGGCTGAATCAGGTCGTGGACCTGGAGGAAAAGACGCGCGCTTTGGTCCAAGGACGCGGGTGATGGGGCAACGTGGACCTGAAAAGAGGCGATATGTATGGTATATCCCGCCTATTTTATCACATTCTCCCAAGTTTATGATATGTTTGGTATATTTAGATGATATGCCAAGTTTGTTCTTAAGGCTATTTTGATATATATATATACTATGGTGATTAACCAATGGAAGAATGGAGGTACCGTATTTTCAAAACCATGTGACATTCTCTCCACGTTTTGAACATGTTTTGAACTGAACTGAACTTGTTGCAGGACATGGTGGGAGTGTGGATGGAGTTTGGCTTGCTGGAAAGGCCAAAGACGGAAAAACCAGGCACTGATATCAGCAGAGTCAAGCACTGCCAGCGCAGGTTGCGGCAGAGTTCAACCTGTATGTTCGCGAGAACAGCAAGCACCCCGCTCAGTTGAAAAAACAGCGATGTGGAAGATGTGGGAAATCGTTGGCTGCGGTATCACTGGTACCTGAGGCGAAATGATGGCAGCCTGAAGAAGTGGTTGATGTCCACACCAGGTGCCAATGGCATGCCAGCTGGTGAGTGGATTGAGATGGCGAGAAAAACATGTGTGTTGGAAATTCAACTCCCACTGTTTCGATCTCACTGGACTAGGTCTTGTTGTGGAGAATGCCAAGCAACAAAACAACTGGTCCGTCAGACTTGCCTAGGCGGGGTGATTCAGTTTCTGGAGATGATTGCTGGAGATCCCGTTCAGTGTGGTAAATCTAATGCCATAAACCAGCCACGATGATTTACCATAAATGGGTCACATAAACTTGTAAAATCACCATCAAAAGCCGTAGGTTTCTTGGGTATACCACATTGATGTGTTGCAACTGATTTCCTGTGCACCTCTTGCAGGGGGACCTGTGCCAGGTTTTACTGGTTCCCTCGGGCACAGATACCCGGCGGCGACGTGTTCTCTGATGCGTCCGCAGCGAATTTCCT